TCTATATATATGTGTGTGTATATTATTATACGATATCAAGCAGATGTGTAACGAACTAAGTATAATATTATTAAACCTAGCCAACTTTAGGTGTATATAGATAGCTTTGTATATCCGTAATGACAAATAATTTATTTACTGGTATGTAACGTAGGTTATAGGAAATACTGAAATATATCATAGGGTATATGAAATACTGGGATGTAACATCGGGTATTTGAAATACCTGAAGGTAACATATGTTGTGTGAAATACCTGAATGTAACAAAGGTTATAGGAAAGACTGGGATGTAACATAGGATATATGAAATACCCGGATGTAACATAGGATATATGAAATACCCGGATGTAACATAGGATATATGAAATACCCGGATGTAACATAGGTTATAGGAAATACCTGGATGTAACTTAGGTTATAGGAAATACCGGGATGTAACTTAGGTTATAGGAAATACTGGAATATATCATAGCGTATATGAAATACTGGGATGTAACAAAAGTTATAGGAAATACTGGGATGTAACTTAGGTTATAGGAAATACCGGGATGTAACAAAAGTTATAGGAAATACTGGGATGTAACATCGTTATAGGAAATACTGGGATATATTATAACATATATGAAATACTGGGATGTAACATAGGATATATGAAATACTGGGATGTAACATTGGGTATATGAAATATTGGGATATATATATTATTCTACGATATTTAACGTACTAAGTATAATATTATTAAACCTATAAACATTAAGTGTATAAAGATACCTGTGTATATCCGTAATGACAAATAATTTATTGGCACTTTAACAAATAATTCGGTTAATTATGCTCTATAGTATCATCTTATTTAGCCTGGAAGAGTTCGAATCTCGTGCTGGAGGAACGAAAGGGAAAAAGCTTCTTCTGATGATGATGATTAGAGATAATAATAAACACGTAATTTGAAGATGATGGCTCAGCCACACAGATACCTAAATTTCTTGTTGCACGATACGTTTATGCTTATTCTACGATAAAGTTACAGATGAAACGGATGTTATCTAGTGACAGATGATATTGGCTGCTAAAAAATACATTATTAATCAGGGAACCGGCTTCTAACAAACAGATAAATAAATGTCAACCGAGCCAGATGATCTGACAGAATTGGTAGTTTATAGACAATCAAGAGAAATTTAAGACCGGCTGAGTGAAGTGACTGACTCACCTGGCTGCCGTCAGCGAGCGCGGTGACCCTACGTTACTTCCCACTGTAGTTCCTTCCGCTGTTCTCGCGCGTTCCACTACGCGTTGATCAGAGCCGTCCGAAGGTAAGGGTGCCATGACCCAGAGGGGACATCGTCCTTTACTAAGTCTCTTAGTACAAATTACGAGACGAAACAGCCTAGAAATTACGTGTGTCCTCTTTTATCCGGGAAGGTGGAGGAACTCAGGTTATTCGTCCCTAATCTTACTTTGAAATGGACTTCCAGTTATGATATGATGTAGAGTTGGTATATCCCCAAAATAACTTAAAAGCGTTTACAAGTGCCCGATTCTTCCCTGCAATCAAACAGAAATCGAACGAAAACTGGTAAAAACACCACCGAGTCCTTAGACTTTCTGGCTCGAGTGCCCGCGGTGACAAAGCTAACAAATGGTAGCCAAACGCGGCGCACGACGTTTCTTGTATTCGTTTCTAATTATACGGAAAGTGCGGGTTCATCTGCATTGCAATAGGGTCGTTGCTGTTGGATAATTATCAACCTAATACGGATCATCACTGAAGGCGTGGAAGAAGCTAGTTAAGTGAATGAATTAAAGCAGTACACTCCGCGCTGCCGTATTAAAAAAGAGCTGAGTAGAAGGCTGGACGTCAAATAAAAGGCCAGGCTCGCCAGCCATCTCATTTACAACTCGATACTTCGGTAGTCGCTGAATATAAATTTGAAGCTTCAGCAAAAGCAGAACCCAGGATCTCATCTCATGCAATTCGATAAAGTCCTCATGCATTTTAAAAAAAGTGTCTTTTTGTTTTGATAAACACATTCTCGGGGTGAAGAGATTACGACGGCATCTGGTGCATACCAAGTATGAAACCGGGCAAGACACAGCCCGAACAACGCAAGCTGCTAGAATACTCGAGGGTTGCGGTGGTTCATATTCACTGGGCGTTATTAACACTGTTAACGTAGGGTGTGTTCTTCATTTTTTTTATATTTATATTATAATGAGGCTTGTACGTAGACTCGCTTTGCGAATGCTAAAGATGTGTTGTGGACGTTAATTTATTTGACTCCGTGTTAAAACAATATGTATTTAAAGAAGTAGAATTAATCCAGAGAACAGCACTGCAGTATAAAAACTAAACCACTTCCATTCTTCCATTCAGCCTGTTAATTTCCCTGTTTATCTTTTCTATTCTTCCTCTCAGCCTGTTTATCTTTCCTATTCTTCCCTTCAGCCTGTTAATTTCCCTGTTTATCTCTTCTATTCTTCCCTTCAGCCTGTTAATTTCCCTATTTATATCTTCTATTCTTCCCTTCAGCCTGTTAATTTCCTCGTTTATCTCTTCTATTCTTCCCTTCAGCCTGTTAATTTCCTCGTTTATCTCTTCTATTCTTCCCTTCAGCCTGTTAATTTCCTCGTTTATCTCTTCTATTCTTCCCTTCAGCCTGTTAAATTCCCTGTTTATTTCTTCTGTTATTCATTTCAGCCTGTTAATTTCCCTGTTTATCTCTTCTATGCTGTCAGGAGAAACAGTGCAATCTCTGTGGATATCCAGTAGTAATGAGTTAAAATAAGTCAAATGTTCCAGAAACAATGGGTGTATAAGATGTAAAGTTAGTGTCAGGATTGACCTGTTAACCAAGAAAAACAAATATTCTTGTACTGTTCAGGACTTTAAGTAGCAGTTTGTACACTCATTTCGAATGGTGATGTAAATATTTTCAACGTGTAGTAAACTTATATAAACTCATGTATTATAGGGTATAGTTACATAACAATGTAGATCATATCACAAGCTACGTTACAGATTCATACAGTGGCTTAACAGTAAGTCTAGAGACTTATAACACCATAAACCGGGTTTCGATACCAGTGGTGGGCACAGCACAAGCAACCCGTTGTTTAGTTACGTGCTTAAAGATAAAACGAAGAAATTCATCGGGTTTGAATACTAAGAGTTTTATAGGAAAGTAAATACACTGAATACTAAGAGTTTTATAGGAAAGTAAATACACTGAATACTAAGAGTTTTATAGGAAAGTAAATACACTGAATACTAAGAGTTTTATAGGAAAGTAAATACACTGAATACTAAGAGTTTTATAGGAAAGTAAATACACACTTAGAATAGCAGATAAGCCTGAAAATAAACAGACAGGATATCTAATTCAGTTTAATATCATGGAAATCAAAAGCTTTTCTTGGCAATAGATCACAGTATTGTTGACCCATGGATATATTACAAAAGCAAATGATTAAAAGTAATTTATAAATCTTCTATCAAAGGCAGATCGCCAAATAATTCAGACTATGATGAATTCACAACCAGTGTATGAACAGACCATCAACAAATGTATTAAAAATATGTGTACGTCAGAATAAGATAAACGTCTTCAAATTATAAAAGGCTGAAAAACAAAATAAAATGTAAAATCGTTATCTGAAAATTATAGCTTCAACAAGAGCAAGGTGAAATGTTTGAAGGCCATCTTAATGGAGTAGTTGGAAGTATGTGTTTACCATATTCATGAAGATACTGTTAGCATTCACTTCTGTCGAGGTTAGCTGAGAATAGAATAGCATTGATCAGAATACGTTCAAAACTATATAAAAACTGTGTAATTTTATTGTTTGGTTAAACAGAAGAGTGTTAATCATACTTTAAAATGTGTATTATTTAATTGTTCCAACAATCAGAAGAGTGTTAGTCATACTTCAAAATGTGTATTATTTAATTGTTCCAACAATCAGAAGAGTGTTAGTCATACTTTAAAATGTGTATTATTTAATTGTTCCAACAATCAGAAGAGTGTTAGTCATACTTCGATTGTTGGAACAATTAAATAATACACATTTTTTGGAACAATTAAATAATACACATTTTGAAGTCTGAGTAACACTCTTGTCATACTTTAAAATGTGTATTATTTAATTGTCCCAATAATCAAAAGAGTGTTACTCAGACTTCAACATGTATATTATTTAATTGTTCCAACAATCAGAAGAGTGTTACTCAGACTTCAACATGTATATTATTTAATTGTTCCAACAATCAGAAGAGTGTTAGTCATACTTTAAAATGTGTATTATTTAATTGTTCCAACAATCAGAAGAGTGTTAGTCATACTTGAATACGTGTATTATTTAATTGGTTTAATAAAAAGAGGATTTAGGACCATACTTCTGAACGATTAAAGTTTAACTGTTTCTATAAACAGGAGAGTGTTGATCACATCTTGAGAATTACATGATTTGATTTATTGTAGTATAAAGAAGTGTCTCGTGTCGTATATTATTTGATAATTTTGATAAACAGAGAAATATGGACTATATTTTAAACGTGTATATATTTGATTGTTTGATAAACAGAGAAATATGGACTATATTTTAAACGTGTATACATTTGATTGTTCAATAAACAGAGAAATATGGAATATATTTCAAACTTGTATACATTTGATTGTTTTGCAAAATAAAAGTTTTAACCATTAGTTCATAAACATATTTTTTGATATACAAAATAAAATGTTTTGTATTTTACTTTGTAAAAATATACGAGCATTTTTCTGAATCTCCAAAACTGATTACGTTCACCAAATATTTAAGCAAAATTTTTTATTTATTTTGGGTTTAGTAAACTAAACTCATAATAATTATTCCGTATTATTTACTTAGAGTACAAAATTAGAACTATCCTAAAGCATTTAAGCTGATCAAACCTCATGAGACAATGTTGGGATTACGGCCAAAAATATCGTTAATAGTAAGGGTTTGTTTATTACAGAATTTCAGCTATCTTACTGTGGGCGTCCCTGGTTGGGAACTGATAGGTTAGAAGGGCGCAGCTGGTCAGCACCTCACACCAACAACTACTGATATAATCTCGTGTGACCGAATAGTTGGAGTTGATCGCCACTAGTATAGCGTACATATTTCTCCAAAGCGCGGAACATGTTTTTTCTGCATCAGGTCGGGAACCACGAACCCTCGGATTCACAGATCGACCACGCTAACCACTAAGTTACGCCAAAAGCGACGATACTTAACGATGTTTCAATGGGTAAGTTTAAGTTTTCTTATAAATTTGTCTATAATATTAATTAGTTGTAGTTAGATTATTATACAATATGGGTATTATTGTATTATTATACAGTATTGGTATTATTGTATTATATACAATATGGGTATTATTGTATTATTATACAATATGGGTACTATTGTTTTATCATACAATATGGGTATTATTGTATTATCATACAGTATGGGTATTATTGTATTATCATACTCATATAATAATACAATAATACCAATACTGTATAACAATACAATAATACCCATATTATATAATAATACAATAATACCAATACTATATAATAATACAATAGTACCCATATTGTATAATAATACAATACTGTATAATAATACAATAATACCCATATTGTATAATAATACAATAGTATCCAAATTGTATAATAATGCAATAATACCAAGTCTGTATAATAATACAATAATTCCAATACTGTATAATAATACAATAGTATCCATGTTGTATAATAATACAATAATACCCATATTTATGGGTATTATTGTATTATTATACAGTATTGGTATTATTGTATGATTATATAATATGGGTATTATTGTATTATTATACAGTATGGGTATTATTGTATTATCATACAGTATGGGTATTATTGTATTATCATACAGTATGGGTATTATTGTATTATCATACAGTATGGGTATTATTGTATTATCATACAGTATGGGTATTATTGTATTATCATACAGTATGGGTATTATTGTATTATCATACAGTATGGGTATTATTAATTTATAGTCACTTTCTATGTTTTTAATTACTAAATTCAGTAATGGAAGGAAACGTTTTTTTTCAATTTAGAGTTAGTGTTAACTCATTACTTTATATGTCAAAATGTAGCTAGAACTCTTCAGTAAGATAATGTTTGGTTTCTTAACCAATTGAGTCAGCGGTAAGTTCCGGACTTACAATGATAAAATCCGTGGTTCGATTACCTGCCGTGGACGGAACGCAAATAGCCTATTGTGTAGTTTTTGCGCTACGAAAAGAACTCAATCAACTCAACTCAATTAATTTCCGTTTGGTAAACAGATGTTTTAATTTGCATCATCTATTCAAACAAACGATACAACTTGGATAAAGAAGGAATTTTACCTTATTTATTTATCTTATTTATTGTATAAAATTCCTTTTCTAAAAACACAAAAACACTGACTTACGATCTAATATAGGAACCATTTTCACTTATAATAAGGAGAAACAATACAAGGACGGAGATATTAATTTTCAAGGTGCACGTTCAGTTCTGGTATTCCCTTCACACAAAACTGTTATTATTACTTTTATTTCCGACACCTTGAAAACGTCGAATATTATATGCTGTAGTTTTATTCGAAAATTAAGTTTGAAGCTGTTTTTCGTTTCTGATTCATCTTTATACTCATGAAATTATAATTATTTTAAAATTCCTGAATGCAGTTTACTGGAATAAGCCTTTATTTTAATACTTTTATAACATATCAATCTGGTTCAGTAAAAAAACAAAACAACAAAAACAATTGAAGCTGTTCAAAATATCAACTTTAGCTCTCAGAGGCATCAGAGAAGAAGTAGCTGGTGGATCCAGTTAACTACCTTTTGTCCCTCTTTATAGTCCATCAGTTCAATATTAGGGACAGCTATGCACCGATAGTCAATCATGTTGCTTTGCACGAGCATTAGAAACTTTTTATCAGTATTAACCTTCAGAAAAATTCATGTTCACTGTCAGAAATACGAGTATCAACTGAAAAACATGACTATTTACTGTCAAAAACATGAATCTCAACTGTCATAAACATGAATGTTAATTGAAAAATATTAAAGTTAATTGTTTAAAACATGAATGTTAACTTTCAACAAGATCATCGTGTTTTATGTAAACTGTTTGGTTCAAAGAAATTTTGACGTTTCGCTTGTCATAATCGTCAAAATAATGTAATGAACGTCGGAATACAACAAAGGAAGTTTCTATATTTCTCTAGGAAATTAAAAAAACTGTATCTGGATTTCCTAGGGTTATAACTTACCATAAAGTAAATGTACCTTACACTTCCGCAGGTTTCATAACATCAAAGAAAGTACGAGTGTGGGAGGGGGGTACAGTATATAGAAAAGCTAAAGTAACATTATCTTGCTCTGTACTATAAGGCATTATATTATTAGGGCTAAGTGCACTCTTAACCCTGCGTGTACGGTACTACCGCCCAGTTCTCACAATACGTGATCGTTGAACAGGAGAGGAAAATGATTCGAATCTGTTAAACACTTTGATACAGCATTGCGAACACATTCCTTATATCGATTTAAATGAAGCTAAATTCTTTTATATAAATGTTAAATTTCATAGTGGAAGTATTCGATTTATCCTGGAATACGTGAGTTTAATTCGGATAAACCTGAGTCACAAATTGAAACGCTCGTATCAGGTAGTGGACGTTTTGTTTAATGGACTCGAATGGTGTTAAGACTACATTGAAGCCATACCACAATAAATGTCTTTTCAATGGGCTAGCGAAACAAAGTTATCAGTTGCTGCTAATATAGAGATACGAGAGAACATTGCTGGTTTACATACACAAGTATAAAGTAATTATAACTTTCACATCGATTCAATATCACAGAGTAATTCAGCTTTCCATAGATTATACGATGCCTTAAATGGCAGAACGTTATGTTTAGAAGCAATACGCTTAGATTGGTGTTGAAAAGAATCACTAATAAGATGATACAAATTAAAATACGTATATTTTCATAACGTTGATATATAATGTTTAGGGCTAGTGGCCTTCTTAAGGTCAAATCTCTAATCCTATACCTCACCTGAAAAAGGACACTTTTTGGCACATAATCTAAGCCTTTTACTATTATTTTTCACCATCCGTATTAAACTTGTGGTTTATTATTAATAGCTCAGCCTTATTGCGTCAAAATAATACATTGTTTTTTACTGGACCAGTTTCAACCACACTTTGTTTCATGGGCGATACTCTCAATACCAAAGCTTATCAGGAGTGCTGGATTACAGCATACAAAATAAACATTTTTAACATGAATATAGTTTGAGTTCACGTTCATAAAGATACCTTTTATGAAGAACGAAACGTTTTTAACGTGAAGATAGTTTGAGTTCACGTTTATAAAGATACTCTTTATAAAGAACGAAACGTTTTTAACAAGAAGATAGTTTGAGTTCACGTTTATAAAGATACGTTTTATGAAGAACGAAACGTTTTTAACATGAAGATAGTTTGAGTTCACGTTCATAAAGATACCTTTTACGAAGAACGAAACGTTTTTAATGTGAAGATAGTTTGAGTTCACGTTTATAAAGATACGTTTTATGAAGAACGAAACGTTTTTAACATGAAGATAGTTTGAGTTCACGTTCATAAAGATACCTTTTACGAAGAACGAAACGTTTTTAATGTGAAGATAGTTTGAGTTCATGTTTATAAAGAACGAAAAACGTTTTTAACGTGAAGATAGTTTGAGTTCACGTTCATAAAGATACTTTTTATGCAGAACGAAACGTTTTTACTTTATAAAGCATACCTTTTTAAGAAAGGAAAGGAGAAATTTTTATATGTTTTTAAAAACACGTCTGTTTTCCTATTGTTAATTATTATTAAGAGCTAAAAGACAGATGTCGTTGTTGTTTTGTTATTAAGCACAAAGCTACACAAAGGGCTATCTGTGCTCTGCCCGCCAAGGGTATCGAAACCCGGTTTCTAGCAGTATAAGTCCGCAGATATACCACTGTACTACTGGGGGGCCGTTAGTTATGTCATATTAAGTGTAAATATTGAGACGTGAGAAAAGTGCTTATTCATTGTACCTTACTTTATTTATAGTTTAGAAGTAAGCGAATAACCAGTGGTAAAAAGTTAGGAGAATGTGGTAGTTTCCATTTCTTGTTCAGGAGTGACCAAAGTCCTTGATGAAAACTTCCTAGCCCTTAGATTCTGTAAATAACTCCTAGTCACATCGGGAGCTTGTGGGGATTTCTTTATAAACTGTTGGCAATAGTAAATGTGATTAAACAGGCTTGATTTGACTTTTTCTCTCCTAGAATCATACAGTACTGAGATTACAATTGTCAGTGAAGCATTGAAAACGTAACAATGAAAAAAGTAGTAATAACAATGACTCCTCTGACTGATTAAAGCATCGTTGGAAAAAAAAAGCTACGTTAACATATTTCTCTTAAATCAGAAGTTCTAAAACTTCGAATTTTATTATGTAGTTTGAAACTTGATTTTTTTAATACAAAAACTGGAATAATAATGTACTCCAGATAAGTTAGTTTTTTGTCTTATGTATCTTAATTTTTCGGTTTCAATGAAACATGAATCCATAATCAGATTCCACTTGCAAATGTTTTCCTAATACAGTTGGAAATCTAAAAAAAAATTACCTTTCACTAAAAGTTTTTAAAAGTCTCTGGAAACGTTTGAGAAACGACGAAGCCTAAGGTTAAAACTATTATCTAATTAAACAACATTTAATAAACATATGCAATAGCAAAAGTACATTAATGCCTGTGTCGTGATAGATTGATTGGTCAGTAACTCTACAAGAACGGTTTTGTTTTCGTCCAATGAAAATGACCATCGAGCGAACACACGTATAATGTAGATTGCATGTCACGAGAAACTTTCCACTTATGCATTAGAAAATGTCTTGAACATATTTCCATTAAATGCTGTTTTTAGACGCTTAATGGAACCTAAAATAGAAAATTGTCTTATAAATCGGAAACACGGAGTAATTAATCAAATGAGCTAAGAGAGGTCAGAGTGCTTCTTGTTCGACAGTGTTGTGTATACGAATGGTGGAAAAAAATTACCGTAAAGGGACGCACTAGCAAATACCCGAAACACTAATAGAAGGCTACTTTACTCGCTCATTTCTACAAAGAAGCTATACATATTTATGAGTTCTCTCCAGAAAAAAACCATATGTGCCTGTTAAATTAA